TATTATTATTACTTCACCTGAACCAGCCTGGCAGGGACTACTGGGCATGAAATCTGGGCAGTAATTGGTTGGACCGAGTGTGGTGCGGTCTTTATTTTAAGCTTTTCATCATCCCAAGCTGCCCTATCGATTCCCGGTTGAGCGATACGCAAAGGAACATAAACAGAATTATTCTATCGTTTCGGTCCCAACTGAACTTTAACATGTATCTCAACAAAAGTTATAACAAATTTTAGAGAATATCCTGCTAGGGCCGGATACGTAAGCAATAATTGATTGCACAGAGTGTGATACCGTCTTTGTTTTAGATCCGTCTCTGTCATTGTCCGCCAAGTCCTGATTCAACTACCCGCTGAAGAATTAACACTCACGGGATAATCCTATCACTCCAGTCTCACTTGAACTTGAATCACTCGACTGTTATGTCTAATCTGTACCGCAAAACCCGTCTGACAAGCATATTTTCGACTGTGCTATCAAACGCTCCCGCAGAGGGAAATGAAGGCACTGATTACACAACTGGGTGCAGTTAGTTCAACTCGCCATCTGGTTCGGAGCCCACGTGACCTGCCTTGTTCTTGACTTGAGACGCAACCGCACATAGCTTGCAGTCGGCACCTGTGGCGCATCTGATATCGTCTCGTAGTCGGATTGCCTGTTTAAAGTGTGTTCGGTGCTGAGTTATCTGCGGGGTAATGACTGATTGTGACGCAGGGCCGTGAAAGCCGCATGGAAGCTGTATCGCCAATGTCGCCTTAACGTTGCACGATATTGTTTGCGAACGTATGCTGTTGGTATGGTGCATGCACCCTGATTCGGTCTGTTTTCTTAGGGCGTTTGAGTTCTACACTTGTTTCCCATTCTCCCCCTATTATTCCCCACTCCCTAGGTCGCTGGGATTATACAACATCGAGACATCAGTCGCAGTGACTGATGCACTAGTGCATTGTTGCTCTTACCCTCCTGACCATGGATAACAGATTTGGATCACTGTCCAGGCTTCGTTGCAGCTCTTTGATGGCTGTTATACAGTCATGGATAGGGGCCAGGTAGATAAGTTAACCGAAATCGCAGCGCTGGTGCTCTGTGTACTGACGTGTTGGATCAGAGCCAACGGAGTGTGCACAAGTAGGCACCTTGTCAACACACAAGCGCAGCCACACATGGAGACGAGACTAGGCCTTACCGCGGTGCGATGGTTCGTGTACCTCAACAATCCATTAGGCTCTGCTGTGTGGTACTTTAGCACCTTCAGAGCCACTCATACCAGATTGGCCAATGTTTAGAGACCAGACAAGCTCAATCTCCTGCCCCTCCATGTTGTGGGTTAGAGTAAGGGTGGCTCCTTACTCCATCAAATGGACTCTTTGTAGCCTAGTACCAAAACTCCGCTGCCTTGCGGTAAGTTTTTTAAACCAAAGGCTTTGGTTGGGAACCCTAGTCGTTCTCTTGTCTAGACCTGGACAACCTGACAGTATCCTGCCCACGCAATACTATGACCTTACAATCAAGTAATTTCTTCATGCTTTGGCCGTCGCAGCAGATAATCAACGGCACCTTATCTGTTAGGTCGATCAGGGGGTGGATATGGTTTGCATGCAACAGCTCTGGCCTTCTCGCGCTTCTTCCTTATCGTCCCGTTCCAGCTTTACTTTTACCTCCCCTGCTTTCAGTTCTTCAATTCTTGACTCTCCCCAATCTTGGTTCGGTAATAGTTTGTCTTCTAGTTTCGCTTCACGCAATCGCGGGGCGTCCCTCCGGTCCAACCAGCTATTTCATGTCCAGCTAAAGGGACAACGTCAGTTCATCTGCTTTTATTTTGAGCCCTCGACCCTTACTAAGACTGGCGTGCCTTAACGTGCGAACTTTGCTGCAGATTGGTCAACAGGCAGCTCTTTCCCGAACACTGGTGACCCTATCAATCAATATCTGCCGCCTATTCGAAATTCGCCTGCAAGATTTGAGTTCTGTTATTACCCTGCGCTCCCCAATGTGCGACACTGGCGGTATTTCCTCATTGCGATGACGCGGCCCCAAATACCATTCAAGCCGGTATGGGCATTCCTGTTAGCTCCTGGGCTGAAGCTGTCCTGATTGATTGGATCCCACTGAACAGCCGGATGTGTGCTGTCAGGTTAGCTGGCCCATTCAAAACAACAAAGTCGCGTGGGGACAAACGGTGTTTACTTGTCATTGCGGTCTCTGCGACTGCAAATTGTAGCGCTGACTCGGTGAAATGCGACTTTATCACCAGTTTAACGCGCTCCTTCCTTACAGAAAAAGTACTGACACTGATGCTTGCTTGTGATTTGAAGGCCGTTGGAAAATTCCACCAATGGGCTTCCTCTGGTTGGCCAAGACGGTGTAAGCTCCCGTAATGATAACGGTAAGCGGTTGCTGCACCTGTGTGAAGATGCTCGTCACTTTCTTGCGAGCACCAACTTCCGACATTGCACCCGCAGAAGAGTGACATGGCGTCCACCAGCTATGGACGCAAATAGATCACATCATGGTCAGTTACAGCTGGAGAGGATACGTTCAAGTCTGTCGCTCGATTTGGGGCACGAGCGCGGATTCTGACCAAGCACTTGTTTGCGCCGACCTGCTGGTACGTTTCGGTGGACGTCCGCAACGGCGCTGTGAGCGCACAGATACTTGCCAACTGGCGAAGCCAGATGTCCTGTATGCGTATCATACTACCTTAGCATATGACCCGAGTAAACGCTCACTGAACACAGTTGAAGACCACAGATCACACGTCCGCCAGACGTTATTAGCAGCAGGCATGTTTTCATGTAACAAATCAAATTGCCAACCTAGACATTGAGTCTCTACACAATCACTACAACTTCTGGATATTCGCCCATGTGTTCCGGCTGAAAGCGAATACAATGAGACTCGCACATTTCTTAGGGCAAAACTGCGTGCTAGCCTGAAGAGGGACCGCGAAGTCTGGTGGTCTCACCATGCCTTGAAGATGGAGACAGCCGCTACTTGCTACACGCTACTCAACAACGCGCTGATGATGTCACCTGTATTGGTGACGAATCTTTTGCAACAAAATTTCCAAGCTCAGCGAACTCTTCGACTACCATCAGAATAACCTGAGCTACCAATTTTCGCTCTTATTCCAAACTATGAGAAGCAGTTTAACCAGTCTGTATTGCCAGCTTTTCCAGCGCCCTACTCTCTGGACTACCCCCTTAGATCCGCCCTCACGCGCAGAAATCGAACAAGGCCGCTGGAGCACTTGGACTTCATCCAGCCCTTTTCAAATTCGGGTGGCCTGCTCTTCTGGATGGTTCACTAAGTTATTAGTGAATCTATGGGAGCGGGAGATTGTCCCAACAGACTGGAGCCGCTCCGTAATAGTCCCAATTTTAAAAGGAGGCTCCGGTTCGGAATGCGGCAGTCAGGAATCAGTCTGGTCTCCATTGTCTCTAAATTACTTACCTCTCGTCTTCCATAGACTGACTGGCATCCGTAACGCCAGGTGTGCGAACAGCAAGCCAGGTTTCTTCGAAATCGAGGCTGCATTGCCCACATTTTCACTTTGCGTCCGTTGTAGAAGCAACACCATGTTTATTGGCGAGCCACCCTTGTCGTGTTCCTAGACATCAAGGGGGTCTTTGAGACTGTCTACTGAGGAGAGGCCTGCCCGAGAAAATGTGTGTCATCAGTGCGCTGTACACGCATAGTTTGGTCAAAGTGAGCGTTTACGGCAAACGTCCCTCGCTCTTCAATATCTCCAGCGGAGTGAAACATAATTGCCCGCTGCCACCCCACTTTAACTTCGCGCATTGACGAAGTCATGGAAACGGCGTTCGCTGAGCAAGACTTAGAAGGTGTGGAGCTGCTCCCAGGCGAACGACTTCTTGACTTGGAGTATGACGACGACATTGCGCTCATCTGTGACAGCTCCCGATCGTGCCAGGTTGCACTGGGCAAATTAGCATTGGCTATCTGTCGCTTCGGGTTATGCTTTACACCATCGAACTGCAAACTTCTTCTCCAAGACTGGCATGGACCCAATTCTGCGCTGGATCTTGGTGGTGATCAGCTAGAAGTGGTCGAGTAATTCAGCTATATTAGCTTCCTTTGGTTTGAAGAAGAGGTCACGAACCGTATAGCAAAAACTAGAGGCGCTTTTGCCAATCTCCGCCACCTGTGTCGCCGGCGTGACATTATTCTCGCTCTGAAGGGCAGAGTTTGCAATGCAGTCGTCCGTTCAACCTATCTTACAGTTGCGGAACCTTGCGCATCAAATCGACAGATATACAGAGGCTAGTCGTGTTCGATCATCGCTGCCTTCGCAGTATAGATCACTTATGGTAGGTACACCGCGTGAATAATGTCTTCGACGTCACGTATTTGGTGCAGGAAGAGCGAGTGAACCGTTCAACACCAGTATATCACGCAACAGACTCCAATGGCTAAACCACATGTCGCGCATACCAGCCCACCGACTACCGCATCGTGCGTAGTTTGCGCGACCGGGGTTTGGATGGAAGAAGAGGAGGGGAATCCAGGCGATGTCTTGGTCACTAGGAATGAATTCCCTCACTTCGAACTTAGCGTCGCTTGGTGCTTCCCGACTGCCAGACCGGGGACCGAAGGATGATGAACACGTTTGGTTGAATACACTAGCTGACATGGTGAAGAGCCGACGTCGGTGGCGTTTGTGTTGTGAGTCTCTTTCCCTCCCCTCAGCTTCTCCCTCCAACACCGATCTCAAACCCTATACACAATGTGATATTTAGCATTGTTGTTTTTTTAGTCTGTTATCTGTTATCCTTTTTAGTATTGCTGCACTAGGTGAGATGTTTCTCACCCTCGATCAACGTATATTGATGATGATGATATTACCTGCTTCTCTGACTTGGTTTATGCACAACTTTAAACATGTTTATACGCCTGCAATTTACCCGCTTACCTGTATCGTTATTAACATCGCATATCCTCATATAAATCTCATCGTTCATTTCCTGTATTTTGTCAGTATGCTGTTCCGTCGAAGCTTCATGAAATGGTCCACTTCTCCCAATATATCCCACAGCGCCACTGTTGTCAGGTATAGTGTGTAGTATTTACACTCTCCTGCCAGGAAGTATGATCGTGACGGTTACCTTTGCACGCTACTGCTGCCCTCCTGTCGCCAAAACTTTGCATACGCTCTGAGAGCTGTCAACATAGAATTAGCACAGGTGTCCACGTTCTGAACTATTGTTCTAAGTAATTATTTTCGTGCTTAGATACGTGATAAATCAAAGAGTATGGAGCATGCTCAGTTTCGTTTTCAATACTGGAGGGATGTTATCCGGACTTTGTCCGACTCCAGCCAAGTAAATGGCTCACCTATCGAACGTGAGTTGAGACAGGTACTCTATCCTTGAAGCTTTGACTTCCTATTGAGAGTCCACCGCTAGTCTACGCTTGTCGAAGTACCATTTTTACCGGTTAATAGAAGCCCGGTTTCGACATTTTAACGAATGTGGCTTTGATTCACTCAGAAGTGTTCAAAATTACGCGGAGGAAACAAATGCATCCATTCACTACCTCCTCGCGGAGTCTTACAGTATGTCACATTTAATCTCTCTTGTTTGCCTATTGCCTACGTATAACCGTTATTTTCTCTAGTAACACTAGTGGTCTGCACCAATGGTTTCGTATTTGCTCTTGGTTTGCTCTTTACTTTTCAACCTGACAATGAACACCGAACTTATTGACAAAAACATATTCGTCCATTTCCCCGCAACAGCACGTTAACTATACCGTTAAGTGTGTTTATCAAGTTAGTGGCACTCTAACTTAAAATCTAGCAACTGCACGTTTAATACTTTGGTGTGCTTTTCGCAATAAACCGCTAGATTTTCACAAACCGGGTAATCTGTTTCGAAAATGAAATCACCTAACAGTCGCTTTTGCCCCAAGAAACGGGCATTTGAACTGTTCATCACTAACCCATGTATGCAAGGATGGGTTCAAGATCCCGACTGGTGGCGGTGTGGTTCAGGCGAATGATATCGGATGTCTTGATGGACGATCGATCAATGTATTTGTTGAACGCACGGCTTTTAACTTTTGACATAAAAGCTTCGCTTTGTGTTATGGTCTTATCTATCTGTGAAGGTAATACCTGGAAAACTCCTTTCCATTCCATAGTCTCTCTACCGTGACTGCCGAGGTCGGGTAACTGTCTACGGGAAGCTGTCTCCTGCGTTCCCCACGACAATCGGGGTTTCGCCAGGGTTGTCTATATATTCTTTCCTCTTTTTGATCGCAGTAATCATGAATGACTCGGTTATTTCAGACTCTACCGGTGTGGAAGTTCTACCACGTTACCGACTAACAAACCTTGGGTATACGGACGACATAGCTCATCTTGGATATGCACTGGCTATGCAAGCATTACTGGCTAGAATGACGCGTAGCGCTGCACGCTCCCGCATATGCTTTGCGCCTTCAGAGTACAAAGAACTGCTGCAGTACTGCATCGATACACCACTGATTAAGCTGTCACCGAACAGCCACTAGAGATGGTGGATCGGTTCACTTACCTTGGTAGTTGTGTCACACCTGGTAGCCATATCACTGAGTTTACTTCGCCTATCAGCAAGGTCTGTGTGGCTTTTCAGAGGTTAAACCACCTATGGAGACGACGGGATATCAGCTTATCATTGAAAGATAGGGTGTATAACGCTGCGATAAGGCCTGTGTTACTGTATGGGTCAGAGACCTGGCCAGTTCGCAGTAAAAACATTAAGCACGTGGCCAAGTTTGATCACCGATGCTTGCGGAGTATTGCTCACATTTGGTGGGAACACTAAGCGAGAAATGTTGTGAGGTCCGCTAGTTGGTATTTGGCAAGAATGTTTTATAGTGTCTTACTGAAATGTTTACTGTATCTTAGTCGCTTGCGTGGGCTAGGTTATGTCCTCTGTATGCTCATTGACCGGCTTTTTCGGCATGCAGTATACGCCGTGGCTGTACCAAGTTGGGCGAAAAAGCGAGGTGGGTAGTCGATAACGTAACACAGCGAGATGGAGAAACTGACAGACTTGGTCAGACTGGTGCATGCCGTCTTCGTGGAGGATGGCGCCGGGAGGGTCCACGTTAGTAGTTGGCGACTCTATCGAAAGTGCCCAATCGCATAGTCAGTAACGTTCCCGCATTCGGTTTCTTGCGTCTAGCTGGCACCTTTCATACCATACTGATTAATTTAACGCGCCCATCTTTACTTCTTTCGTATTCCATTTGCATTCAACCTCATTTTCTTGCCCTCGTTATTTATTGTTAGTCCTCGTCAACAGCACATCAGTCATTCGGATTAATACTACGTTTCCGTACTACCACGTTGACCTACGGAATGGAGAGAAGGAGAACCTAGCATAAAATAATGTCTTAAACAAATATTCAGGGTTAAGACGCCTATACATTGTCAACAACGTACCGTCACAAACAGCTGGGTATCGTGCAACGATAAGGCGGCATCGGCAAGACAGCTTCCTTGCGGCTTTCACTGCCCCGCGTCACCATCAGCCATTACCCCGCAGATAACTCAGCACCAAACACACTCCAAACAAGCAATCCGACTACGAGATAGCAGCAGACGCGCCACTAGTGCCGACTGCGAGCCATGTGCTGTTGCGTCTCGAGCCAAGCACAAGATGGGTCATGTGAACTCTGGCCTGGAAGGCGAGACGGATCAACAGCATCAAGTATTGCAGTCAGTGACTTCATTTCTCTCTATCATCTTAACTTTTGTCCACCTGGAGCCTTGCGCCACCCTACATCTGGCAGACGAAACTAGTCCTCGGTAAGCGGTGACCGGGCATACGTAGTACGTGCCCAAGCCAACGTAACTTGTTCAGTGTTTCCTGTTGTTCTAAGAAGCTAGCCTCATTATCCCTGTCTAGCACTCTCCTATGCACATCATCGTTGCGGACATGCTGGTGCGTCCGATACTAGCAATGTTTCGCAGGCAACGACGATCAAAAACCTGAAGACACCGCATGTCCTCAGGTCCTAGGAGCAAATTTTCACCACCGTGGAGTAGGACGGCTTTCAGTAGCCTTGCGAACACGGTCTTTTAGACCGAGGGAAACCCCTTCTGACGCCACAGACGTCGCAGATTCTATGGGTGGACTGACTTCAGTGGTTATGCACCCATTGTTGCTGATGCAGCTGCCAAGATAGGTAAATTGATCAACTACCTCGAGTTCCTCGCCATCGTGGGTCAATGAGTCACCAGTGGCTGGTGATCCTGTGACAACACTGCATTCTGAACGTGCGAAGCTTATGCCAATTGATGGGGTTACTCTGGAGAGGTTATTAGGCGTTGATTATGCCGCCTTAAACAGCAAGACAATATCATCCGCATACTCATGACTAACTAGATTTCCACTAGACAGCACCTCAACACCTGCATCCTGAGGCTCTGCAAGGGAACACTCCATATTGGAGTGCGCGACGAAGTTGAACAAAAACAGAGAAATTTGACAACCCTGACGAACTCCACTCGTGACCGTAAAGGCATCCTACAAGGCACCATAGACTCTGACGCGACTTGTAGTGTTCGAGTACAGAGCACGTAAAATCTTCACATGTTTAATAGGAACAATTTTCCGCGCAAGTATTTTGTATCAAGTTAATCGAACGCGCTCTTGAAGTCAAGGAACACAGCTATTGTCTTTGCAGTACATGTGGCGCTTCTCTAACACCTGCCGTGGAGTGAATATATGGTATATGCAGCCTCATCCTGGGCGGAGGCCTGCCTACTCTTCCATAATCCTGGATTCTCGTTCCCCTATGAGGCGACCAACGAGTATTGAAGCCAGTACTTTTGTCGCTACCGACGTTAGACTAATACTCCTGTGGTTAGCATAGTCGGTGCCACTGGCCTTCTTGTATATTGTCACCATAATTGATTCACTCCAGTTAGCCGGGACGGTCTTTTATTTCGAGACCTGTACGAACAGAGCGGTCAGTGCTTTGCAGTGGAACTCACTGCCATCCTTAACTAGTGTGGGTGCGAAGGAATCTGTACCAGCAGCTCGAAAGCGATTAAGGGCTGTGATCGCGTTTCGGACCTCCATCTCCGATGGAGCCTCTAAACTAATTGCTCGCAGCTCAGCCTACACCTGTTGTATTGGAAGGGGTCTGTGAGCAAGAGACAACTGAACTACTCTCAAACGTGCTTCGCCCAACGAGTCATACGACACGTTTTGTTGTGAATCAGGGCACCCGCGCTGTCTCTGATTGTCTCGCTACACCTGCTTTCCTGCGACCGGTGGTGTGGATCAGCCGGAAGAGCTTGCGATAATTACCTACTGCTCCTGCTCCCTCTATTTCCTGAGTTCTACTGGTCTACAAGACTTCCTTGTCAGCACGCAGGCTCCGCTTTAGTTCGCATCTAATAGTCTGTCTAGTTTCATTGTGCTCAGAGCCAGCTGGGGGTTGTACTCTATATTCCGACAGGTTCACAGACCTCTCGGGTATCCAGAGGCTGATACGGGTCCGATAGATAGCGCCGCCTGGCGGAGACTCCTGCATTCTATTCCATTGAAACTCCTTGTTATTAGTACCAGAAAGCGAATGTTCGATACGCAAAGCATCCTGGTAGGTATGCTTTATCGGGGACTGAGATAACCTCATTCGTCAATCGAGGGAGGCGCTTGGACGCCTACCGGTAAAATCCTCGGGAAAAGCATATCGTACCAAGACATGATCATAGTCGATGCAAGTATTCCAGAACGAGCGACAGTCCTGTATGGAGCCACATCACCTGTAACTTATGGCAACGTGATCAATTTAGGTCCATCGCTGGTCAGCTATAGGTGGACGCCAATTGGCACTTCGGCGTGCACTGTGTCTGAAAATGGTGCTACTAAGAAACAGCCGGTGCTCTTCACACAGGTGCTATAGACACTCGCCGTTGTCCGTACGGTCAGAGTTAAGTGCATACTTAGCACTTAGGTGTGGTTCTGAAGAGTCCAAACGACCCACTTGCGCATTCAAATCCTCTGCGTGAACTGGTACCACTGCGTAGTATCGTGTTCCGTTCGTGGTAGGTGTCTGTCACGTACGCACTTGAGTATCAATTCGTAAACACAGGCCCTCACATGATTGGTTAAGAATCACCTTGCCTTACTTTCCTTATTTCATTGCTTTTCCTTTCCGGCTTTTCTAGCCACTATAGCGCAGGCTGCTTTTAGTAAATTTGTTCCATAGTATGCGTGGGCGCTCTGTTCCGTTCATCGGCTAAGAGCTATACTTAACATTCTGGCGACGAGGTTAAATTACTGCGATGTTGCACCTTCCTACACTGCTTTGGAATATTCCTTCTGATAAACCAACATCGGCCACCTGGAACCGCTGGAAGCGCACCTTTTTGGATTATTTGGAGCTACTACCCGTCTTGCAACCAAACACGGCACCACAAAATTAAATTATGGAGTCAATTTCTAGGGATGAAGGCCAAAGACATTTTGATGCCCTCCATGTCGATAAGAAGGAGACAGTCAACAGCGGGTTAAAAGGCCTCAGCGGGTTATGGGGTTCACGACTGAATACATA